TTAAAGAGGTTTTTCGGATTAGAGAGGTTTTTCGGATTAGAGAGGTTTTTCGGATTAGAGAGGTTTTTCGGATTAGGGAGGTTTTTCGGATTAGCGAGGTTTTTCGGATTAGCGAGGTTTCCGTTTTAGGGAGGTTTCCGTCTTAGGGAGTTTAATCTTACATTCTTTATGTAGGAATTAGTGTATGTTCAATCATGTGTGCTGGCAGCTCACGCCCCACGCGCGACTCGTACTTGTGGGCGCTGGCGCGCGCGCTGCTGGGCGGTTCGCGGGGCGTGTGCGTGATGTGGGCGGGCGGCGCCGGGCAGCCCGGCGTTCCGCCGGCGCTCGTCGAGCGCTTGTGGAGCGAGCTGGGCGCGCCGCTCAGCCTGCTGCACGCGACCGCCTCCGCGTCCGCCTCCGCCTTGCAGCCGTGCACGCAGCAGGGCGTGGTCGCGGTGGCCCACTGGCCCCTCGCCGCCGGTGACGCCGGCGCCCCGCGCGTCGTGCCCTGGCACCCGGGCGCGCCCGTGCTGTTCGTGGTGCTGCTGCCCGAGGGCCACCCGGGCGTCCCGCGCGCGCGCCTCGCGCCCTTCTTGAAGCGCCTTTGGAGGAGCGGCGGCTACCACGTGGTGAGGATGGCACCATTTAATAGCATTGGAAAACGTAATTTAACACTTATTATGAGTTATAATACATTTTCATCACCGTCAATTAGAAAGAGCTGTCAGCATTGACTTCTCCTTCTTCTTCTTCTTCTTTCTTCTTCTTCTTATTATTATTATTATTATTATTATTAAAATAATGAATATACAGTATATATATATATATATATATATATATATATATATATATATATATATATATATCAGTATCTATGTAAAAATGGAGCTGGTGGGAACATAGATGGCTCCCGGTGCGAATTTTGGAAGGGGAAGTCCTTTATTCAAAGTATATTGGACAAAAATGTCATATTACAGATTATATAGAATGATGTAAGCTTAACTCAGCTATGTTGCGATAAGATGTTATTCGTTTTTGAGATGTGTTGACGAAAATATTTTAGTTTGAGAGTTCCTGACAAGTTGAAATTAATAGTTACTGTGTAAGTTCTCGGAGGGGAAATTTCTCTCATTTTCCTTCCCGTTGATTCGCGCCTGCGGAAAGGACGTCGTCCTTTAAGAAACAATATGGTGTATTTCACATCCCTGAGACTTTGTCATTTTTGGCATATCTGACATTATGGGTGCCATTTTTATTAGCACGATAAATGTAAATTAAGATCTACCGACACTATCAATTAGAAAGAGCTATAGCCATTTGCATCAGTGATCGAAAAAGAAAAAAAACTGACAGAAAGTCATTTATGCTGTATTGTTTCTTCAACGACATGGTGAATGTGGAACAATCTATAATTAAGATTATTATTTTATATCCCATGCTTTAAGAGTATTATTTTTGTAAGTCGTATGCCTGAGTATTTATAGCACTGAATTTCAACCAAACTCCTATTTAAACTTAGTGGCACGTCAAAGTCAAGAGCTGGACGAAGAGCGGGGCACTGCCTTCCAATCGGGAGCTCCGATACACACACACACACACACACACACACACACAAATGTTGCAATATATATGAAATCCATGATACTATAACAAGGGAACTTGCTATAGGATCATGGATCTGGTGTGCTGCAACTGTTCTTTATTTTCGTATAAGTCTGTAATTTTTGGTATTGTAGCTCCTGATTGGATACAATGTACTCCTCTCCTTCTAGCTATTGACCTTGAAGTCCCGCTTTGTTTAAATCTGAATAGATGGATCTGTTCGAACATACTGCACTTTGTAATAAATGATTGTTTTAAAAGATAAATAGCTCTATACCCAACAGGTAGACCCAAGATCTCGGGCTCAAATCGAATCTATTGTTAAGGGCGCAAAGTATCTCTCAAACATCTTTCTTCGAGAGCCGGCTGTCCTTTGTTTGTGAATTTACTGCATGTTAAAGATTTTCTTCCTTCCTCTTCCTTGACCTCCACACACCTTACTTACACACACACATACAAGCACCACAGTGCCTCACAAGTCGGGAGACCATAGAACATATCTCGGGTGGGGTGATGCCCCGCTAGTGAGAGTTAACTGGGTACGAGAAACCCCCACAAATTGATATCGAAATCAATATTAAAGAAGGAACTCGATATCGAGTCCTTCACTCAGTGCTTGAGACGGCTATCGTTAACGAAGCCTATCAAGCCTTCGCACAACACAACAAAGCACGGACGACGCATAAACAAATAGCTGGACATATCCTCACTATAGGACAAAGCGGTCAAGCTCTCTCCTCGACTATTCTGAGGGCGTAGCGCATTATACGCAATAACATAACGTGACTAAAAACAAAAGCCTATTCGTCAACCGACTAAGGTCCGACGCGAACCTACACCAGCCACTAACACATGGCAGTAAAACGCAAAATTCGTGCGAACTGCAACACAAAAGTACACTAACCTTCGGTTACGCTGAAAAAAAACAACAACAAAAAACACAAGTCGACATAAAGGGGGAAGGGAGGAAAGAACATTGCCAACTCCCGTGATAATAAAAATGCACTACATTTACAGGACTAACGTTTATAGCTGTTGACGCGCCCGGAAGTACTATACTAGGGTTTTATTTCTTGGCGCTCGAGGCCTTGTCTTCACGATGGAATATCTCGCGGTATTTCACGTGAATTCTCAGTCATGCTACTAGATGTTGCATGATCGCGACCGTATCGAGTAGTATTTGCGATCATGCGACATCTAGCGGCACGACCGAAAAATAGCGTGAGAAATTCCATCGTGAAGACAAGTCGAAGAAATAAAACCCCAAGTATAATCAACGCGTCTCCTGCCGTCAGCTGGCCGCAGAGGTGTGGAACCGATCGCTGCGCCTGCGCGCAGCGCACTTCTTCGACGCGTACGCAAGGGCCGGGGGCGGCGGGGGCGGTGAGGGCCGAGGGGTGCTGCGCAGCGCCAGCGCCGCGCAGGCCGCCCAGCTGCCCGGCTCGCTCGCGCGCAGCTTCTTCCATCTGCACGGGGCCCGCCTGCGCGTCGTGCTCTTCACGGTAAAGGCCCAGTCACCACGCAAACGTAACCAGAAGCATAACGCTTAGACGTAAACGTTAACGTAAGAGACAGACTGAAGTATTCACAATGTCCAACATAAACAGTAAGCAAAATAAGAGTTTCTATTGGCTGTGAGACATTCTAGTTTACTATTGGTTGGATGTGAGAATCGATTTCAATGTATCGACTGAGTCCATGTCCCGTATGGCCTTTGTTCGTCTGTCGACTTCGATACTCGATTTTGAATTAACTTCCTGTGATTGGCCTATTTCTTATGTCTTACTTAAGCGTAAGCACAGAAGCTTGAAGCTTGCAAGTTTTTAAGATAACGTCTTATATGTTATGCTTATGCGAACGCATTGTGAATGAAACCGCTCATGGACGTAGTCCTAACTTTTATGTTAACGCTATGGTTATGTTTAAGTTTGCTTTGTGATTGGAATGAAGTGAATTTTATTATTATTATTATTATTATTATTATTATTATTATTATT